CAGGCAGGAGTTTATGATAGGCCTACATGAAATACCAAAGGCAAGGGGCACAAGAATTGCCGAATATATTAACGTCAATACTGATGCACCTGTATTTACCAAAGTTAATTGATGTTGTTAGTGAACCGATCAATAGACCGCTTAAAGCATTTATTAGAGCTGAAACCAAGTCGTCAAACAGTCACGTTTGTCCTCTGGCGCCAAGTTGACATGAACCAGCACTGCGGTATTAAAGCGAATACTGTTATAATGCTCAATCCTCGCCGAACTAGCATGTCTGCTGGTAGATGACGCGCAAGCATATTGGGGCCGAGGTTGCACTGAACGTTCCCGTGTGTTTGTACCACACGCTGCATGATACAGGGTGGGCGGACTAAACCTAGGTAAGCGCCCCCCCCCCCAGTCTCCTGTTTCTGGTCAGGAGCTGGCTCCAAAACTGGTGCGGCGACGCGGTTTTTTTTTTTTTTTTTTTTTTTCCCNGCTGGCTCCAAAACTGGTGCGGCGACGCGGTTTTTTTTTTTTTTTTTTTTTTTGTTACCCTCACTTTTTTTCTGGAAATGGTGCACGTATAACCCACAATGTCCATCGCGACTACTCACGCACGTAATGCCAGCCCCTACCAACACTAAATAGACTGGCCCGTATTTGTAACAATTTTTAAAAATACATTTCCAGCTTGTACATGTATACAGGACATAAGACCACCTCGTTTGCCTGGTTCCCAGATATAAATGTATAATAACACAGGAAATTACGTCATCTTAAAAAAACTGCCCGACTAAATGTATGGGGAACTAAGGGTACTTCTTTACTGTACATATTACTCAACCATACCCCATCAAAAATTATCCAGAAGTTAGATTCCATTCGATAAAGCAAGTTGGCAGCTCTTGGACGTCGTTTTATAAAAAAAAAAACCTTAATTTTGCCGACGCGCAGGTCCACGGCGACGTGCGCGCTGACCAGAAACTAGAGACTTTTTGGGCCTGTTGTATTTACTTGATCTCAATTCTAACATGTACCCTGATAACACAGTCACAAACAGGCATCTTTGAACACACAACCTTCCGGTGCAGGCTTTGCTAATTTCAGTCGGCCCGCGGCACCTGTGCTAAATTATCTCTGAAAGGGAGGAAAGGAGACACGTGGGAATGATTGGATTGGATTGGATTGGATTACAAACGGTACTGAATAAAAGGTTTTCACGTATCACAGGTCCTGTAAATAAATTTTAAAAAATCAAGGAAATAAAATGATGATTGTGATAGTAACGGTTTTGAACTGTGTTACATTTTTGTCTTCAGTTGCCCAGTGACGTAGTCGAGACCTTTTCGTTCGAGACCATCAGAAAACGCCAAAAGACCATCAAGAGATTTGAGACCGAACACAAGATCTAGGGTGTGAATGAATGCAATTCACATGAACTGCAACAAAAGCTTTCCTTTTAAGATGTTACTTGTCTTATGACCAGTCTTGTAATTGTGTTGTGATAGTCGTCTGATAGCCTGACTGCAACACTGGTCTTCCCTTGTTTCTGTATAGGAGTTCTGTATTAACGCTTATTACCCATCACACTGCGTGCAATGCCTTGACTGCCTCACTTTGTGCAAACTTCATCTTCCAAACTACGTGCGTGATGTGCATGTTCTATGCAAGATTACGGAAATAAGCAAATTGACTGAAATGAGGGCGCTATTGATGTTTTGTAAGGTGAATCACTCAGGGTGCATGCCATCATATCGTTGGATTTCTACGCGCGAGCTCATTAATATTTTGTGATCCCACGGGGTTTTTGAACGAAAACATGCTTGAATAAGGAGGGATCATAGAAATATTCCTATGAATCCCAAATTAGGGACTGGTAGTTTCTAGTTCAGGGTATTTCTTTCACAAAAAGCCCCATTTTGGAGAGGCGGGCGGCTACATTCAGAGCTGAGCGCATAGTTTTACAATTAGTTTGGGGGTATCTTCGGGGAAAGACGAAAAAAAAAAATTTTTCGAGGCTAACCCCCATAAAGTTGAAACACAAAGTGATCTTCTTGCCATAATCTTGAATTTCCGGTGAAAACAACAGAGGCCAACCTCTCCCCGAGAGTCGACAGACGGCGCTCTTTCGGTCTGATTTTGCACTGTTTTCTATGGGCGCGGATTTGGTGTAGTGCAACCCTCACAGACCACGCATCACTGAAGGACCGTGTGGGAATGCCGCGCCGTTGCGATGCAGGATGAATTCCAGATCTTAAAAAGGTTCACCGATGGCTATGATGGGCGCGTAGCTGGGCGGGCGAGGCTGAAAGAGGGCCGTTTCCCCTTCCGTAAAAAAAAAACAAGGGGCTGAGAATCTAGGTGAAAGAAAGGAGAAAGAAAAGAGGAAATGGATGAGACAATGCTTTGAGAACTGACCCGCCTCCAGTGTTTTCGTTGCTCAGTCTGCTGCTGATGAAGGTTTGCCCCAAAAGCCATTGCCCCCTCCAAGCGAGGCCCGTGCCGGTCTTGAAATACCAAGTCAATTTTGAGCACATTTTGCGAGCAGGACTAGGGTTACTGTTAGCACTGGAGCACGGGCGAGACGATTGAGTGCCATTTTCCTTGTGGAGAAACGTATTACAGTCGAAAAAAAGGGAATGAGTGGTGAGATCTTCCCAGGAAAATGATTTGGTTTTCCTATGAGCCTCGGAGTAAACCAAGAGGGGGCGCAATTTTCTTAGCAACGGGGGTTCATTTGGTGGGGACTGAACTTCGATGGTTCACAAACGACTTTATAGAGCATTCGTTACGGTCGCGTCGCTGCAAACAAAACGAACATTCCCGACCAATATGGCTCTTTTCAACCAATGAGGGGGTGCTTTTGCTCAGAGAGGATACCTGTCCCAACTTGAAAGTTCGAAACTGAAACCACCTCCATGTTGATTCGAACATGGGTTAGTTGCCACAGGCGACACTGACAAAGAACATAAATAATCAAAGGTGACAATCAATGACAATCATGACAATCAATTATGCGGAATTGCAATCATGCAGGAGTTGTTGTTGGGGTATCGGAATTT